GGCCGAGGAGGGGGCGGCGGCCTCCACCATGTCTGCCCGCCCCTCCCAGAAGCGGGGTGCCCAGCGGACAAAGCGCGGCGGCGGCGCGGGCGCCCAGGCCGAACCCGCCGAACCCGCCGACCCCCGCGGAATAAGCGGGTCCAGGAGCCCCGGAAACCCGGCGCCTTAATGCAATAAACAGGAAATCGCGGGGATGATCTGGGTTCCGGGGGAAGTGGAATTATTTTTTACCAGCGAAGAGATCAACTTCCACATCCGGTGGTAACAGGGCCCTACACAGACCCGCACTGACCTGGAAAAGCTTCGGGAGCGGCGACGGGGGAGCAGCAGGAGGTGGTGCGGAGACCCGAGGCCCCTCGTACCCGGCCGGGCTGACGCGGCCCCGCTACACACAAAGCGCTGCAGCTGCACGGGGCGCTATTTTCCGAAAATGCCGCGTCTGGTCGGCGCCCAAAATCCCCACCGAAAAGTCCTCCGTGCTGCGCGCGGAGGGACACATGGTACGCGAGTGAGTCAAAGCTCCCAGCATCCCTCCCAGACCCGGCCCTCGTCAGCTCCTCGCCCGAGGCTTTTCCGCCCCGCCTTCTTGAACGGATCCCACTCCCACCCACTCCCCGACCCCATTCCGGCTGGAGAAAGGGGTAGGAGGGTCTGATTTTTTTTTTTTTTTTTTAACGGAGGGGAGGAAAATTTGCCATTTCTAGCGCTTCAGCTACACAAAGAAAGTGGCGGAATGATCCGTTCTCGGAGACCGCAAGTCCCGGCTCGCGTGGCGCCTGCGCGGCAGCGGGGGTGGAAGCTGCGGCCGGCCATGTGCGCGGCGGAGCAGCCGGGCCGCCGCAGAGTCTTCCCGCCTCTTTCTGCGGTGGGTAGGAGTTCGCAGACTAATGTGAGTCTGCTAACCTTCGTATCTCTCCAACATGACCGTTGAAAGACGTAGCCTGTGGTGTCTTTGGAGTTTAAGCTTGCCAACGGAGCCGCCTAGCAGAATCCTGGAAGACGGAAGCGCAGCCAAGAGGCTAAAAGTTACCTTAAAGTGGCCCTAGATTTAACTAAGCAGACCGGAACGGGAGTCGCTGTTGAGGTACCAGGGGAGGAACGAAGGAGGTTCCTTCCCTTCTTGTAAACTGGGCAATGAGGTTTATGACGAAGATGTACATGTCTGTAGCCTTTTTTAGACATTCTCATGATGCTTCATACGTAGTAGAACCTAGTAACTGCTTACTGAGTTCTCTGGGATTACTGTCACCTAAGGAGTAGAGACCTGTTTTTCCGTGGCTGGAATGTCAAGATTTTTGTTGTGTATTTTGTTAAAGTAGCAATAGGTTATTTGGAGATGGTGATTTGCAAAGTAAAGCCATATGACTTTAATTTACATGTGATTTGCTAAGGAACTCAACACACTGCTATGCTTTTATCAGGGAGCGTGGGAGTGGCTTTCCCAACCTACTAACCGTGCAACTTTTGGCATCCTGTATCTAGGAGTTGGGAATATGTGAATCAGTACCAATAGTTTAATTCAGGATAGCTGACAAGCTTAAATGAAATCCATATTGCCCACTGATTTGGTGTGACCTTAGATAAGAAATCTTTTTCTCTCTGTTTTTTGTAATATTGATGAAGTAAAGATTTGCAGTCTTTGCACAATATATTAAAACATTGTGACTAAAATAGAAGAAAAATAGCATAGGAGCCATAATCTATGTTTTCGTTTGATTTAATATTTTCATTGCTTCAATTGATAAAACTGTGTCAAAATTTTCATGTCATGCTTTTCTTTAACATTGATTTTAAGTAAACATTCAGCTAGTGATTGCCACAGAATCCTTGTCACCATTGGCCTTATGCTGTAGAACGTAGACAAGTAAGTAGGCATCAGTAGTATGATTAGGGTAAACTGCTGGATACTGTGGAATCTCATAGAGGAGCAACCCTTTACTAAACTAGGAGGAAGGAATGGAATGGGACTGGAGACGCAATTAGCTTTTTTAAGGGAATTGGGTAAGGCCTTTCATGCAGAGGAAGCAATAAATGCAAAGGTTAGGAGGCGAATTGTTGGGTGAAGAAGACATTGTTCTTTCAGGAGTGCCTAGAGATGTTCCTTTAGAGGTCTAGACATGAAGACGTTGAATGCCGTGTGCAGAAATTAGCTTCTGAGAGTCAGGAGAAAGCCATTGAAAGACTTTAAGGAGAAGTGCCATAAAACTGAATTTGCATTCTAGACAGATAACTAGTATGCAAAAATCTGAAGCAAGGAAAACAGTAATCTGTGAGACAATAATGACTTGGACTGAGGTAGTGGCAAATAGGAGTAAAGAAAATGGCCAAAGTGGCTATTTAGAGCTTGAAGATTTGGTTGACTGGATATGGATATGACCGAGAGGGGGATGTCAAGGTGTGTCAGTGGAACAACTGGGTGGATGGTAATGTTTTCACAGAGATTAGAAACAAGGGAAGAGGAATACATGTAAGGGAAGGAAGAAGGTTCTGTTTTCACTATATAGAATTTGAAGTGCCTGTGAGCCAACCAAGCAGATAAGTCTAGTCCGCAGTTAGATATTCATTCAACAGTTGTTGGAAGGGCACCCACTCTGCCCTAGCACTGTTCTACACTGGCATAGATAAAGCAGCAGCAAGACAAACAGGCTTCTAATGGAGGGAAACAGACCATAAACAGGTTCAACAAATGAAGAGGAAAAATTATGTCGCATAATAAGTTCGTGAAGAAAAGAAGAGGGTGGGGCCGGCCCCGTGGTGAATCCTATATAGGAATGACCAGTGCGCTCTCTGACTTAGCGCGGTGCGGACGACACCACACCAAGGGTTGCCATCCCCTTACCAGTCACGAAAAAGACAAAAAAAAAAAGAAAAGAAGAGGGTGATTGGATAAAGCATTTCTCTGGAGGAGAGTAGACAAAATTTTGGTCGTTGGTCAGAGATGGCCTCACTGAGAAAGTATTCTCTGAGCTAAGACCTGACTGGGAAGAAGATAAGGGCGGGCAGTATGTGAGACCAAAGGGAATAGCAAGGTAAAGGCCATAAGGTGATAAGGAGTTTGTTGTGTTTAGGGAACTGCAAGGAGGCCAGTGTGACTGAAGTCTAGTGAGCAAAGGAAGGAATGGTAGGAGATGAGGTCCGCAGCCCTTGGTAAGAAGATTACGTGCACTGGAACCATTGAAGGGCTTGAAGAATGTAATAGTATGGACTGAGATAGTAGCAGTACAGATGGAGAAAGCAGATGGGTCCAATATCTGGTTTGTGGTTAGACCTGAACCTGTCTTGTTCATGAATCAAACATGAGTGAGGGAAAGGGAAGAATCAATAGTGATTCCTAGGGCCGGCCCGGTGGCGCACTGGGTAGTGCGCCGCTTGGGAAGCGTGGCAGCGTTCCCGTCCGAGGGTTCGGATCCCACATACAGACCGGCTCCCGCTCACTGGCAGAGCGAGGCGCGGGAGCAACGCCGAGGCTTGCGATCCCGTTGCCGGTCCCCGGTCCGGTACGCAGCATTTGCAAAAATGACAATGTATTTACACAGAGTAAGAATTTAGAAATTTATAGCAATTTAACAGACTAATTTCATGTCTGTGGATCTAATAAAAATTTGAGGCTTGTATTGTTGTATATGTTTACTTTTTTATTTCTCTTTTAATAGGTTTTACCATGATCTTTCACCACAGATAATTTTTGAAGCACTGCTCTAGAGTCACTCTGACAAAGGGAGTCAGAGGACCAAATTCTCAGAAGACTTATCTGAATCTACATGCCTCCTTTTTACTTTATAGTGAAAACTATCATGGCTAAGAGAGGACTGGACATCTGCTCATTTTCTCCCTCCATATAGACATGGAGGTCTACATGGAAATAATCAAATTTATAGTAGCTATCATTTATTAAATGCTTCCTATGTGCCAGCCACTGTGCAAAGCCTGTTACAGATATTGTCTCATTTAATCCTCACAACAATTCTATAAATAGGTATTATTAGCCCCGTTTTTCCAGTGAGGAAACTGAGGCTTAAGTAGGGCTGGCCAATTAGCTCACTTGGTTAAAGAGGTGCTTATAACACCAAGGTCAAGGGTTCGGATCCCTGTAACTGCCAGCTGCCAAAAATAAGTAAATAATAAAATAAAACAGGTTAAATAATTTGGCTAAAGTAACCAAACTCGTAAATGTTAGAAGTAGGATTCTAGTACAGGTCTCTCATTCCAAAGCAGTATTCCTAATCACTTTTTTTTCCTATTATATGTGTAGTATCTAGCAAATGTGTTGTTTTGGAGAGAATGCATGAAGTTTACTACATTACCTCCCAGAGGGTTCATTAGTGAATCTGAGGCCAGAGTAAAGGAAATTAGTGGTATTCTGATAGCATCAGGCAAATGCGTTCATTTCTACAATAGATATACAGGGGTACTTCAAAATGTTCATGGAAGGATTCATATCTTTCAGTTCTCTTTTTCCACAAAACAAAATTTTTTTTGACCGGTAAGGGGATTGCAACCCTTGGCACGGTGTGGTCTGCACCACGCTCAGCCAGTGAGCACACCGGCCATCCCTATATAGGATCTGAACTCGCAGCCTTGGCACTACCAGCGCTGCACTCTCCAGAGTGAGCCATGGGGCCAGCCCTTTTCCACAAATTTTTTGAAGTATCCCCGCATGTCTTCTTTTCTCCTATCTAGAATTTATAAAGACTCCCACAAATGAAAAAACAAAAAGATAACCCAGTAGGAAAATGAGAAAGATTTAAAGTCACTTCACAAAAGAGGGTATCTAGATGGCCAGTAGAGTACTCAACTTCTTTAATCATTAGGGAAATGTTACTGTTGAACGTGCAACAGAATGGCTAAAAAAGAAAACCCAGAAAATGCCAAATGTTGGTCAAGAGTTGGAGCAACTGAAACTATACACAGCTGGTGGAAATGTGTATTGGTATGACCACTTTGGAAAATTCGAAGATCAAAAAAACAGGCAAAACCAAACTAGATGTAGGGATACCTGTTTAGGCAGTAAAACCTAAAAGAAATAGTTCCCTTGGCAGGGGTCAGGGACAAGTAGTGCTTTGGAGGGAACAAGGGGTGCTTCTGTGGTGCTGGTAGTGTTCTGTTTCTTGACCTGAGTGGGGTTACGCAAGTGTTCAGTCTATTTACGTGTAGGGGTTTTTGCGGGGAAAAGGGTACTTTTCAGTGTGTATTATATATTTCATGGTTAAAATTTTTTTTGATGGAGTTCTTTCTGATACGTTAGGAAAAAATCTCCTGGGCAGTGCCACATGCACACCACCAACTATACTGCCCTGGCTGCGCCAATCTTTCTGTAAGCATATTGCAAATGTGAAAGATAAGGTAGGCCTGAATTCTGGGAGTGCCAATGAAGGAGAGGAGAGACATGCAGAAGATGCCACAGAACCTGAGGAGGTGCATGGTAAGATAAGAGAGCATAGCAGTTGGTGTGACGAGCCACAAGTTAAGTCTTAACTAGTTTTTAATCAAGGCTCTAACC